ACGGTGATGGCAGTGGTTGGTGCAGCGGTGGTGGTGGCTGTGGGTGAGATTTGGTGGTTGGAGGTGGTCGGCGGTGATGGCAATGGTTAGTGCAGGTGGTGAAGGTTGGCGGTTGGGTTGAAAATAACGAAAATGCGTTTTGGAAATTTTGGCTAAGTTATAATTGAAAACACTCAAAACGACATTTTTGTCGGTTTTGTGTTTTCTTTATAAATTTTAAAGTCGTTTTCAAAAATGTGTTTTCGAAAATAGGAAAGAGAATGCGTTTTCACTGTTTTGGAAAATCGAAAATAAAAAACGGTTTGAAAACAGTAAAGAGAACATGCCCAGTATCCTAAAGAATAGTACAGACTACCAACGGACTCAAATATTAAAATTTTTTTCCAGGTCTCGCAGATCAAAAACCTTATGTGTTTGCGTGATTCATCTTCGGAAGCACCAGTTTCTTTCATGTAACATTGTATTGATTTAGGAACGTCACCTCTTCCCAATTCGTCCTGAATTAATAAAAAACATAAAAAACGCTGTTAGTGGAAGGGTTTAATTTCGAATTCCTATTGTCTCGTTGATTTCATTAAACACGAAATGGAAAGGGTTGGCCATATAAGGCTTGCTGCATGCATACGTATCCATGATGTTGCTAAATCATCTGCAAGCCTTAAAATCGTTGCCGACCAGCGAACTACATCGGGATATTTCTCTAAGCACTGAATGGCTTCTTTCTCTATCGGATTGGTAACAGAGAAAAAAGAATGTGACAGTATTACGTGAGCTGATATTGAAATCAATGCATTTTTCATATACTCCTCCATTGTTGGAGTGTATCCAGTAAAGCACCATTTCGCCTCTTCTAAGTATGCTTTGCATAAATCTGTCCACTGTGACATTTATTTGACATCCTTATTGTACATTTCTTAGATAGGAAAATTATAAGGATATATAAAACATAAAGAGAAAGTTCTGTCGGTTGTTGTTGAAGGATAAAATAACAGATTGCTTAGTATAGAAACAATAAATATAAGGGCTCGTGCATTTGTGCTACTCCTCTTAAATGTTGTTGATCTATTAAGATAGAAGCCTAGGAACCAGAAGTGTATTATACAAGAATTGATGATAGAATGAACAAGATTTCATTTTTCTTCTTTAATATTATTCGGTGTTATCTAATATCCATAATAATACACATGCTACTAAGGATATAGTATATTCGACTTCTTGAAGGAAACTAATAGTACTTCTTAAATATGGAATAATTACGATCCCTTTTTCTTTGAGAACATCGTAAGCCATTTCATTGACGAAGTTGTTGAGTGCTAGATAGCAAATTTGCATGTAATCCGGAAGTTGCTTGATTGCATTGACATCCCATCTGTAAAGTTAAAAAAGAGAAATCATTGTAAAAGCTAGAAAGAGAAGGGAGGCTTGGAAAGAGACATTAGGACATTGCTAACCTTTCAATGATGAATGTAAAAAGTTCCCGTTCTTCTAACGTACCATGCACATCATATACATCATCGACAATTGTAATTAAAACATTTAACTTGGTTGCATGTATTCGAGAAAATCCATATTGTGGTTCAAATAGCACTCCAATATTCCAAAAGAAACATTCCACCAGCCTATCCCTGGCAAATGGCAACTTCTCGGCAAGGCATGTTCTCTTCCACCACCTATTCATATGTAGAAACAAAGGATAGTAAGGTTAGGAGCATAAAATACGATATATTTAGTGTGCTCCACAATACCTGGAGACATGTTTTAGTTCCTCAAGATACGTTGCTTGAACAATGTTGAAATCCAGTTTAGCAAGTTCAAGAAGAATTAGATTCATGTCTGGTCTCCCCTCATATTTGTTTATGAACCACATGTTGAATGAATTAAATAAATGTGTACTCTTCTTCTAATAGATTAAGCTTTTAGATGAGATAATTCAACACTAACTTGCTTCAGCCCGAAGTATGGTCTAGTGCAGTGGACTCTCCAAGGCATGTTGCACCAATGGATCACAGTGAATGTCAACACTTTTATCCTCAAGATGTTTGATAGTGAATTCTCTTGCCATCTCCAGAGTACTCTCACCTTCTATTGACAAGAAAGAAGCTTCATACAGTTGTAGTAATCCCTTTGTATCATTACATAAGCTTGGCTTGAAACCACCCTTGTCATTCTTGAAACAATCAAATCTCTCTGCAGTCAGCCAAGCTTTGACATGTTAAGCGCGAAAAAGTGCGAGACAAGTGTTGCAAAACATAAAAACCTCAACTTCTACTCAGGAGAACAGTAATAAACAAAGAAGTAAATCTCACACACCTCGGGGATACATATATGATTAGGCTACACGGAGTTTGATTATAAGAAATTATAAATCAACAGAATAAATGAAGGATTCTAAGTTGTTTTTTGTGCACCTTGAGAGAGATTAAAGCCATGTTGTCTTAGTAGCCTGAATTCCAAAGCTGTAGCATACAAATCCTTAATCTTTGGCTCATTATTTTGGCTACATTTTCTGTTTATGAAAGTCAATATTTGCTCAATTTCATCCTCAAAATGGTAAGATATTCCCAGCCTCAGCAAGTTATCAATTAATTCCAACTGATCCAATGGTTCCATCGTTTCATCAAGTAGCATCTTCAGTTATCAATTAATTCCAACTGATCCAATGGTTCCATCGTTTCATCAAGTAGCATCTTCACTTGCATCTTCATCTCAGAAGCCCTTGTTATGTATCTCTCTTCCTATATTATGCATATAACTTTTTGTCAGTCCTTACAATAAAAATATAAGAAAAATTTTCTGCAGATGATGATAATTACCGTGTATTCACTATTTAAGGACCGAATAGAATCGAATTCCCATATAGGGGGCTTGTAGTTTCCTGATTGCCTAATCACGTTCTGATTGCAAGGCGTAGTGGCAAGAACTCGATATTGTATAGCATGAGAAGCAAGGCTATCAGCAGTTGTGCCTAAAGCAAATCGGATCCCCATTTTTGAAATCTCTGTTTTGAATGAGCAAACATAAATTGGCCTCAGAATTTGCATAATAGGCATTGAATTGAGAATTCTTAGAATAAGACTGTACTCCATGCAACTCTATATGGTTGATATGCGATTATATAAGAGCAAGGATGATCTAATGAGCACATATACTCATCTTATGCTAAACACCGATGAAGTGTCATATAAGTTCATTGGTAAATTTTGAAGTTAATTCAAATATTGAATCCACTATAAGCTTATCCACCAATATATTTATATGATACATAACTGATGCTTAACATTATTTTCAACATGTGGCCTTTATATGGGCAAC